TCTGGCATGTCAGCCACTCCTCCCAGCTTTTGCACCAAACACATATTTTTCTGTAACTTCTGTTTATGAATTGATACTTTTATAACATAATTAGGAAACAACTATGTGTAATTCTGTTAATCTCTGTCCAAGTGTTCACTAGTTAAAAGTATGAAATATTTCACAAGGATATATCCAAAATTTACACTGCAAGGCTTCTTCACAATATTTACTGCTTTGAAATGCTATTGCAATGCTTCTTTATCCTGCATTTCTACTGGTGCATTTAATGAGACTTGGCTTTCAGATTTAAGTTTCTTCTTTAAAATAAGGACAATTAGTGCACTTGGGATGTAGGACACTCCACGTAATATTGCTGGCAGGCCAAGATAGAGCCACCTGAAATAAATTAGAACCTTTATTAAATATGTGCATTCATGAAAAAATAGTAAAACTATTCAGTATACATTGTTTTGCAACAATTGCCCAGCCACTCTAAAGCTTGTGCCCTGATCTTTTTGGATTTCACAGAAGATGAATCAAAATGAGAACAGAGAATATGTTAGTGTCAGTGAAATGACTAGTTACATCACCTAGCTTCATGTGATATAAATTTAGCCAGTGATGTTAACCACCTGATAACCTTATGGCTTTCTCCACAGAGAAAAGAAAGAGCCCTGGAAAGGGCAGCTCAGACCACCTGAGTAAAACTTCTGGGTATTCATGAGCTAGCATTCTCATTCCAAATCAACCTCAACACAGTATTAAAAGGAATTAGCCTGAGGCAATTAGCTCAACAAGACTTTTCTTCAAAACTCCCAAAGTACTCCTTGAAGGACTACAAAAGTATGAAGCATAGTAACCTGGCCCAATTTCCAACTTGAGTAACTATATCCTCTCTATAAATTTCTCTCCTATTTTAATTCAAGTACTATTTAATCCATTTTCTTTTCAAAGATATTGCATAGTCAGTAATTTTTTCCACAAGGGTTCACTGCTTTTATTTTTTTTTTTTTTTAATTAGAATTCAGTGCTTTAAGGTTTGTTCTCATGAAAGGCCATTAGTGAAAGTAATTATGGTACCAGAACATCTCTGTTCAAAGGTTGTTCCAATGGCTGTGGCAAAGGTTGCACTTGACAAATAAAGCCAATGCCACAGAAAAGTGTTGTGTCAAATCTCTAACACGGGAGCAGTTTGTCTACTAGGAAAAAATAAGAGCATAAAATTATATCTCTATGGATGTAGCAATACAGTAAGGAGAAATTAAAATTAAGTAGAAAATATACCTGTATGTGACAATGTCATACATCCTACATGCTCCTTCTCCACCACAAGTCATAGTACCCCACTTCAAGCAAGTGGTGTCTATCAAAGCTCCAAAATAAACGGGAGATGGAATTCCAGCTAAAAAGAATATTAGCAATGTTTTTGTGAATAGCATACTTCTTTAGATTAGCAGATACACTATAGAACCTATGCTGTTTCTCATCTACTCCATCTGTCCCGTTCCCTTGCAGCATGAATCATGTTCTCTGTATTTCTTATGTTCTCTCTTCTTCCTTATCCACCCACCCTCAACCAAAGATTTTCTTTAGTGTTACCTGTTTAACAAAATATACATACTACAATATGGACTGTGATTCCTATTCAAAACTCAACATTTTCTCTCATCAGTGAGTGTTGTGTTCAATAAACATATAACAAGAGTGAAGGAATGTAAAATGGCTTTCAGATGAGCACCAGGTGTAGTCAGCCTATTATCCAATATAAATAAATGCAAACTGAAACCTGTTTTAATTTGCCATGCTGCCTAGATCTGTAAAAAAACCCATATTCTTCCTGATCAAAGGCACTCCATGGAAGTAGACTCCTGTGCCATGCCCATAGCCCTGATGTGATCCCTAGCTAACTCTAGATCTGACCTAGCTGATCTGATAGCTGATCCTAGACCACGCTTTCAGTGCTTCTGAAATGTGTTAGAGCTTTTCTTACCAAGTACTCTTGAAGCTAGTCCATGGATACCCACTCCAAATGACTTTTCTTCAGGCTTTAGAGACCTGTATGATAATTACATTGTACACCAATTAGTAGAGGTGACATTAATAACAAACGTTTACCTCTGTTTTTTTTTAATTGAACTCTTCATCACATTAGGCCCAAACCATTCTAATTAGAGCATTGGTTGAAAGAGTTCATTATCCTCATGAGGTGATGTTTACTGAAGTTCCTTAACTAGGACTGCCAAATGACAAAAGGAAAAGCTATTTTCCTGGTATCATTTATTTGGACTGAAGCCAAGCAAAGTGCAAGATAGTTGTGCCTTAATCAACATAATGTTGGTGTGATCAACAAACACACGGGTATCACACGCCTCTCAATACCTCAGTGCACTGACTCAGTGGCCCTACATTAATTCAGGATACAGTAGATAGCCAGAAGTAACAACAGGTTATAAAGCTGACAAGACACTAAACCTTAACACAGCAGAGAAATTACATAATATAATACACAATATATACACAAATATATACATACTAATACACTTTTAATTCCTGGGAGTGTTTAACCTCAGAATAAAAAGTCCAATAGGTTTCCTAAGATAAGGACATTTTACTCTACCTTATTAAGACCATGTACCCAGGCATGGCTGCTAACGAAAAAATAAAGCTGCAGACTAATGACAATATTAAAAAATAACGAAGCATCAGGTCACAGTTTTCTTCTCCATCACACTGACCCAGAACTGCGGAGGCATTTTGAGATGAAAACTCTGAGGTTGCAATGCAGGTGCAGTTTTCAAATACCTGTCAAAAGAGTATTTTAATCACACAGACATGTCAAAACTCACACACTGGGTGTGAAACTCAGACAGTTGACACGTAGCTCACTCTCTGCTGCACTTGAGTGTGTTACACATGTGCAGCACTGCCCTACGGCCTGTCTCTCAGTCTGCCAGGCATAGGTCCAACCATCATGTGTATGTAGCATATGGGGTTAGAGAGTGGGAGGGAGCTATGCTCCTCTTATGCAGCTGGGACTATGCTCCTCAAGGAGGCCATGATCAAGACAGCCCTCATATTTCCCAGCACAGCCTGGTTATGCGGTCCATACAATGCCAATAGATCTGACCCTCTTTTTCATAACCGAGTGTGTGGTCTTTCATATGCCAGGAAAGACGAGATCAGAGATGTTTGATTGAGGCTGGGTTGCAATATTCTCACTCAAACACTTGCTTCTACTGAAATCAATGAGACTATTGCCAGGATAAGGGCTCTCAAATGTCAGCCAAGGTGAGCAAGGGCATCAGTGTCTGGCTCTTTCTATCATCTAATACTTCTCTAAAATACTTGTAACATACAGAGGCTTTCTAAAATCTGTATGATTTAGGATTTTATTGAACTCATCAATTTTGTTTGTTTTCCGTCTAATTAGAACGAATAATTTTTTAATGGAAAATGTATTATGAATTAAGAGAATAAAAATTCTATAATACCTGTTTACTTTTTAAAATCTACAGAATAAAAGAGATAAAATTAAGTCCATGCTATAGAATTGCATTTTGGCTGAAATGTTCTTGTGGACTCAGGTTTCCAGCTGGCAATACCTTGAAAATAATTTCTCACTCCATTTTGCTTATTTAAGATTCCTTCAAATATTAGAATAAAAGGAGGCTTCTTCATTATATTCTTAATTTAAACTTAAACTAATTTTCATATGCAGTTCAGGATTTCTGTTGCCATTCAATAAATTTGTCCAGCTCTATTTATCAACTTATATATCCGATTAAATATACACATATGGATATTTCCCACCCTATACTGATATGGATATTTCTCATCTACTATGTTTCATAGTTACAGCATAATGACATGTATACTTTACCACACTTTTTCCAGTTCCTCTTGAGGCTTTACACCCAGCAAGACAAGGTGACACATATGTGATTCCATTGGTCCCACAAACAGGGTCCCATATTTTAAGTGGGCAATCACAGTCACTGTTGCAGCTAGCAAGTAGAGTATTTTCTGCATATGAAACTTGCTCTATTCTGAAATACATTTAGGAGATGAATAAATATTTCAGTAATTAAATGCCTACAGTAAGCCTTTATAATGGTTAAGATTCTATTCTAGCTCAAGTATTGCTCCAGGACACAATCCTACCTGCTGCTATCCTGGAGTCATGCCTTTCTATCTTACTATAGGGTGTTATATAACATTATATTACATTCTGTTACATTACATTAAATTAATATTATCAATTCATAGATAGGTATGCATACCCCACAGCATTTTTCTCATCTATGGTATGTATGCTCTTGATTGTCTCTAAGCATTACACATACCTACATGTGCATTTTACAGACATATAACCTCTCTCAGTGATTAATTGCAGGCTTCAAATCAAGAAACTGAAGATAAAATATTCTCTGATAACTCAATAGCAAGCAAATTACAGTGAAAACAGCGTAAGATAAATAAATGGTTTTGTCCCTCCATAATTCTGAAATTGCATTCATATATGTCTAATTTGATCACAACTACTTAATTTTACCTGCAGTTACATGACTTGAATGTATTAGTAAAAAAATTAATATGGACATGCAATTGCTTGAGTCTTGATGCAGATATCTTTTTAAATACACTTTATTGTTTGAAACAGGGATAACAGAAGATAGACCTATCGTCCCATGCAAGTAAAAAGCATTTAGATCATTACACTAAAATGCTGCAAAACTATGGAGTCTCTGGATGATTCTTGATAAGAAAAATCATTCCAATGTCTAAAGATTTATGCCCTCTTGTGTATTAAAGAACATACCCTTCATAGGAAACTGTTAGGCCAGCAACTGATGAAGTATCACAAACAGTCCAATAGGCAGCAAAGTAGAGAAGGTATTCCAGGAAAGATACCCAAAATGCTATGTTCGCAGCCTGATAGATACTTATCTTGAATTTCTTCATGAATAAGCCTCCAAAAAAGTACCCAATGCATAAAACTGGTAAGTTGTAAACACCTATTTAAACAAGTGAAACTTCCATGTTAAAATAAAGAAGGAGACCACCAAAACGACTCATAAGGGAAGACTGTGTTTGGCAAAGAAAGACTCATAGAGTGCTTATGACTGAATAATTTAACTACAGTCAGAAATGGGTCTCTACCAGTTCCTTTGCATACCCAAAACACCTGCCAAACTCAACAGCAGTCAGGAATCGCTTGGAGAGTGAGCTAGAGGAAACGATTCACTGGAAAACTGCAATCTAGAGTTGCCATTTAGTTCCAACACCATTTAAAAAAAAAAAAAAAAAGTTGTGGTTTCAATACAGCCCCCATAGTAGCTGAGAGAGAAACTCAACAGGAAGATAAGCTAGTGGAGCACATCTTGGTGCACAGTGAGCGTCATAAAAAGGAGGAGTGGGCTTTCAGTTTTGATACGAGATTACTGAACGTGCTCCCACACTATACTTTGCTGTTTGATACTTTAATGAAGCAGAGATCGACTGAAAGACATTTAGAAGTAGATATATGATGGTTACATGCCTTTGGTTGCACAGCTTCAAAACATTGGTGACAGAGGGCAACAGTAATACACATAAGGTCTGGGACATTCTGTGTCGCAGGTTTTAAAGGAAATGGTGCAGCTACTGTGAAAGATGAGCACTGAGTTAAAGAACAGAAGTATGGCTAGATGTGTTTTAAGATGTTTCTTCTATAACGATTAGATAAATTCTAGTCTAATTAAGTCACTGCAGTTAAACAAGGGACCTTAATATTTTATTTAAGATACTATGAAGTGGAATCATAGAAAGGTTCATAGTTTCAAGATATTTCCTTTGCGCTACAACTACTTGCCATTACCATTTCCCAATGCATGACATCATCTTGTCCTCACTCATAAAAAAAGACAAGGTGATAAAGAAAAGACCAAAAAAAAGACAGCTATTTGGTCAGTGCTTTCCTTCCACAGAGTTCTGCATATGAAAGAGGATCAGGCTTTCAGAAGGCCCAAGACCAATACCTGAGGAGCAGAGATGATGGAAAGTGTTGAAGATTGCCAGCAATTTTGGCTGTGCATAGGGTCAACCCATCTATATCTTAAGAGTTCTAGCAATGTCATTTTCATGAAATCTACCCTCTACTCTATAGTATACTTTTTAATCAAGATAATAGAATCAAGATAATTGTCTTTGATATCAGTGGTGCAAGTTTTATATCAGCTGAACTTTCTGAGCCAATTCAAAAGATGGTAAGTAGATTAGTAAATTCTGCACAGAAAATCAGAAATGCTTTGTAGTGTGAAATCTCTTGTTTGTAGAAGCATTTGACCTTAGTATGTATATGTATAAATGTACACGTGAATATATACGTGTAAATAGAGAGAATTTGCATGGAGACATCACTACTTGGTAGAACACAGCAAAGCAAAATGCAAACATACCAATTAAAAAGATGGCATCCGCTGCAGATTTTCCAAACTGTTGTTCCAAATATTTGGGCATGAAGGATATCATGCCATTGAAGGCACTGAACTGTAACACAGTTATGCATAAAAATAACATATAAACTCGGTTACGAAACAGAGCCTTGAGGAATGGGATGAAATCTGGAATGAAATAATGCAGCGAGTTAGTGTGATGCTTTATGAAATGAATGACCCATTGCTCAGTGTGGCTGAGGTGGGAAGAGGGAAACAGAAACGGTTCTCAACTGAATCAGGCTAATTCTTGTGCTTTATCAGAAACCACAGGCCAAAGATTACTTGCATAGTCCAGGCTACCCCAACATGTCTCTTCTAGACAAATATAACCACACACACACACATGCACACTAATGCATGCTGCTGCCTATTAAAAAATCACAGTGATAATCTTATCATTAAAGTTTCCTGACCCTTTTTAGCTACATAGTGGCTGAACTTTTCACCTATAGATTTGCAGCAGCAGCTACTCTCCCACAGTTCCTACTCCTTTTTTTTGTCATCCCATGCCCTCAGAGCATTCATCAAATACCCTTTCCTGTACCTGGCATGCAAAGGAAGCATAAGGGGGAAGGGATGCAAATGCACTAGATAGCTGTGACCACTGATTTTGGTTATTGTTACTGTCAGTAATGGGGCAAAAGACACCTGAAGAGGTAGGTGACCAGTTATTCCCACCATACTCTCCAAGTCTGGATCCACCAGTCTTCATCCAAGTAAGCATCTGAGAAACTAATTTACACAGGTCTTTTCTCTGCATAATGGCTATTAAGTCAGCATCTGAACCATAAAAAAACCCCACAATTCCTCTTTGTCTAATGTTCTGTACCAATTAATGTGCTGAGCTATTGTCAAAAAAACTCCACAAAAAACATAAGCATCTGTAAAACCATGACCACACTTCATCGAAAATGGGCACAACTTAGGAAGAATATAAATCTTTCAGAGATAGGCAAGTATCTGACGAGAAGAGGATCTGTAGACAAGTCTTGCAAAAATGAGTCAAATATCCAAACCACTATAAATAGGCTGTATTATTGATATATGCCATGCAGTTTATAAACAGAACTTTCTGAGGAAGTGATTAATTTTAACTATTAATACTTCAATTTTCAACTGGAAATCCTTGGGGATCTTAAAAAGCTTTCTGAACATGACCTGGTCAACTGGCTTTAAGTGGCCCTGTTTGAGCAGGGGTTGGGATCAGGTGATGCCCAGAGGTCCCTTCCAACATCAGCCATTCTGTGAAATGATAAGATTCTTAATTCAGGATATTCAGGGACAGCAGACATTCACACCAACACAAGGAGGGAATAATGATGAAAACATAAGCTCTGAAGGGACTCTGGAGTACTAGGACCCACAGTCTGAGCTAGAAATCTTTCCTCACCAGAGCAGTACTTTATTCATGGATTCATTTAAGGCTACATGACAGCAGAGAAAGATGCTGTGTTTATCAAAATGAAGTTGTAATATCAGCCAAGATCTGAGTACTCACACTGAGTAGGGTGAATTTGCAGGACCCAGCTTGAAACACTGTGGAGAGGTAGCTGTCACTTGGCACTTTCTGAAAATTAAAATCCTGTCAAGGGGCCCTGAGATGGGTATACAGAATTATGAGACTACTCTGAAGATCATAGCTTTTGATGTGTTTTATTCACTTACATTTCCAATTAGCACAAATGGAATGAAAAAAATAGCTTCCTACCAATATATAGATCTGAAAGACCACAGATGTGAATGTTGCCAATGGTAATGTGAATAAATGTAAGTCAACTAGATCCTTGTTTAGCAGGGATTAAATATTTATGAGACACTTAAGCACCTGTCAATTCCTTTTTACGGCTTTAAGTTGAACTCAAGAAATGCACAAGATTTGTGATGATTTTCTGCTTTTCTGCACAGTGAATGTGGGGTACAAGCAACTAATATCTGCAACCTGTCCACAATCACTAAGGTGTAATATTCTTAATCAGATTTCAGTGCATTAATCCTCTACCAGAAAGAAAAGCTCTAGATCTTCATACACTTGAAATGAGGAGGGAGAAAGGAGTGAATTCAGATCCTGGATCCATGAAATTAGCTTTCTTCCTCTGCAAGGAGCCATTCTAAATCCCTGCACAAATCATTTATTCTACAGAGAAATGAAAAACAGAGTATGCATTTCATACTGTGGACCCATCTTTACTTACAAAAACACACAGACATAGTTCACACCTTAAGGACTAAATTAAAAAGGAAATAAAATACAGTATAACTTGCCTTTAGCAATTTCATACATAGTCTGTTTGGCTTCATTTTCATCATTTTCTTGCAATGGTACTACACTTCTTTTACTCATCTCCTCAGGTTCACTGGTTTCTCCTTCCTTCACAAGTGACTTGGGCAAAAACCAAAAAGGTATTCCTGCGAGAAGATTCAGTGATGCACAAATCAAAATGCCCAGCCACCATGCTCCAACCCAGCGGGCATCAGTAGCTGTTATAGTTATGTCCTCTATTAAAAAAAAAAAAGAAAAAAAGGAAAAAAAAGAAAAAAAAAAATCACACATCTTGCATTAGTTCAGAAACATCCTTTGCTGTCCTTTTGTATTTTCCCAGTCACCTCTGACACTCTGACATGTGATATATTAAAAGCATTTTAAAGATTCTTAAAATGAGGCTGATGAAAGAGAAAAGTGTCCAGTTTTCTAATGTTGCTAATTTTCTGGCAAATTTCAGTGTTTTATAATAAATCAATCCTAGCCCTTTCCTGTGTTAAGCCAGACGACACAATTGTTCATGAAATAATTTATATGCAGATTCATTTGTGTATGTGTGAATTCAGGCCTTTTATTGAATTGAATATTACACACAGATTTTCCATTCTAAAAGAAACATCAACAAACAGACAAAATTAAGACACTTCATATTAGCAAAGAAACACCTTTTACTGTTGATAAACATTACCATCATGCCTACTGATTTACATGCAAGATGTTATATATTCACCCATTACCTGCATCTACTGATCCCAGATCAACAAATAGTTCTGCACAGAATGATGCCAACAAGAATCCAAGGAAGGGGCCGATCACAGTTGCTGTATGTAGACATCCTAAAGTATGAAAAGGAGAGAAGACACTAAATTAGAACCCAGATATCATTATGTTCTTGGAATTGTTATAGAAGTTTAGAATAGCTCTACTGAACAGACATTTGCATCTAAAAATGCCCTCATTTCAAAAAGTCCATCTCTAGTTAAATCACAAGTTCTACAGTGTTATTATTTTGATAAGGCAGTAATGTCTGTCTTCTCTCTTCCTTTACTGGACTGAAGGGAGTCATAATAACCCTCTCTTTTAGTTTTGTTTCTGTGTGTGTTTCTTTAGGGGAGAGGAGTTATCACAATAGGGTAGATTTACCCAGGTAGAAAGGTGAATTCTCTGCTTTGGCAAAATCTTCCAAATATGAAATGCCTAAAGGCATGATGGGAGTTTCACCCATTCCTCGTACCATGTTTCCAACCATCACAAATATCCACAGCAAGGACCCAGGCTCTTTTTCACATTCTGTGAATAAAATAAGAAGCTGGAATTAATGTTTTAATTTGAACTATTAATTAAATTATAGAGATGAAGACAAAGAATTGACTAACAGCTTAAACTTTGATGGGTAGGCCTGTCCTGTAAAACAGGGAAATAAATAGTTGTGATACTTGAAAGGCTCCAGAACTGGAAGAAGCTGTTGCACTTGCTGGAGTAGAGTTCAAATCCTATCCCTCTCCATGCCATACTTTGTCCAACCACCTGGCAGTCCAACCACTGCGTAATCTAGGACCTTCCCTTTAGTCATTTCCCTCAGCAAAACTGCTATTTTCATGTCAGAAAGAAGACAATGCCTGAACATCAGTGATGAAAGGATGAAAAATCATGCCTGGCTAACTTGATCACCTTCTACAAGAGAGTAATACTTTCTGCTGACATGGGGAGGGCAATAGGTGTTGTCTACCTGGATTTCAGAAAAACATTTACCACTGTTTCCCATAGCCTCCTCCTAGACAAACTGGCAAGACACAGACTAGAGGGACAATCTGTGAAATGGGTGTGAGATTGACTCACATGCCACACTCAGAGGGTGGTGATCAATGGCTTTTACTTAGGCTGGCATCCTGTCACAAGTGGGGTCCCCCAAGGACCAATAAATGACCTGGATGATGTGATTGAAAGCACTGTCACCAGGTTTGCTGATGACACCCAGCTGGGTGGTGAGGTGAACACATCAAGAGGGAGAGATATCTTACAGAGCAAGAACAGTATGATCGTGTTTCTGAAATTCAGGAGTCTCTTGTAATGATTCGGGTAATTGTTGCGTAAAGCCCATACATTGCCTTTTGATTGTAAGAACATTGTCTGAAATAAACCAGAATTTCACAGTGAGGTACCTCAGTCTGCTTCCAAGAAAGCCATGACAGTGCAGAAGATGTTCTACCTTTGCATAGAATGAGATATCCAGCTGCTTTGCCTTGATTCAGACTGCTAGCTTCTGGTTTACTAATGTTCATAAGCCCCCAGAAAAGCACATGGAGAGTAAACTTGCCTGTGTCTACATCATTGGCTGTTTGCTGATAACTTCAACTGGCATTCTGTACAACAGTCCTCACCACCTGGAAACCCCAGCTTAGATCCTTACCTCAAAGCTCTGTTCTAGCACTACAGATTTGATTGCCTTGCCCATCAATGACATCCCTATCCAGAAATTTCATCTGTCCTGATATTATCTGTTCATGTCTTCAGTTTCAGATCTGGGACATTTGAGGACAGTGCAAATTCTCATTTGTCAAATTATATGCAAATTCTACCATAATTGATGCATGCCACCAAAAGTTACAAAAAAGTTTTCTACCTCCATCATACCTCGGCAACTCAGAAGGTCAGTGTTCCCCTGAGCAGGCGCCCACTGAAACACAGCCTGTGATCTGCCCATCTGGGCACTGCTCTGAGGAAGTTTCTGACTCACTGTAACCTTTATGCAACTCTAGATCAAGATCAAGATCTGTAATAATATATCTGGACATCCTGCTAAATCTAGCTGGGGATCTAGCTCTCATTTATTCACATCTGTCCTCCTACATAGCTCAGCAGAATACTGTCCTGCAGCTCAATCCTGTTTGTCTCACATCAGGACACCTATCCAGAACTATTATGAGCTTCAGTATTTTCTTTCTCTCCATTACCTTGGATTTCTTCATCCCATACAGTCTGCATCAGATTTCACTGTTCTCTGTGGTCCACTTTGTAATGCTGAGACTTCTCAGTGCCAATTTTTTAACAAATAAAAACTGTTTTCGTTAGCAGCAACTGATGACTTTCTAAATGAAAGCACTACTGTTCAGAGATCAAGCCTTGATCTCCTGTATCAATGTCAGATTGCTGTCAGCAAACATGGGTGAAGCAATCCACACTTAGATGTGGTCAAATTCAAACCAGCTTTTGCATCACACAGGAGGAGGACTCCTGTGTATACACATCACAGTTTTGCTTGCACATAAACTAATAGAGAAACAATCACCTTACCCAAGTATAGTCACAGGCCTGAAGACCTACGGGTTCGAGTGTGTACATGGAATGGCTGTATAATTTGGAAGAAAATGCTTTACCTATGTAAACCTTCATTTCTGCATTTACAAAATGAAGAAAAAGAGTATCTGAAATCTTCAAATTAAAGATTAATACCAAGTGTGAGCAAGTATACACTTTTCTCAACTTTTTATGCTGAAGATGGAAAAATAAATGCACTAAGTGATGTGCAGTCTTCGAAAGCTTGGAAGCCACAGCTGTTACTAAATGGAGACACAGAAAACTACAGTACAACACTATGGCTTGATGTCACTGGGTACATACAATATTACAGCAGTGTGATCCAGCTGTAGCACACATTGATGGAACACCATCACAAAATATAACCATCATCTGTGGGATTCATCTCACTTAACTTTTGATATCCACCAATCATCTAAGTTTCCAACAGTCAGTAGGTGCATCCAGGAGGTAATCTGACCCACCCTGAAGTGAAGAGCATGAATGTCCATACAGCAAGGGACACACTCTGCAAGAGCTCTGGAGTCTCCTTTGACCAATTATAAAAGCAGCTTAAATAGATGGTTCAAACTAAATGCTTTTGAGGTAGCTAAAGACTCAGGAGATTAATCCCATCCTCAGTGTGAGGATTTTGTGTGTGATCATTTAATAGTTGCCTCTGAGACTTTTAACTTCGTAGTAGTTACTTTATATGCATATTGCCAGGGTATATACACGTTTTAGACCCCCAGCCTGGTTTAAACTTTTCTATTTTCTCTAAAAGGAAATGGGATCTACTTTTTTCCTCTATCTCATTCTTTTATTTCTTGTGTGGTACAACAAAAAAGGCATCCTGATGCCTTTTACCCATTGTCCAAATCTGTTTCCCTCCTCCTCACAGGATCATAGTATTTCAAATGAAAAAGAGGAGCACTTGTAAGAACAACCTGATGTTATATTTCCCCAGAGTGGACTGACATGGATGTTAACCGAGCTGTTTGTATACTGTGAAAACTGCATGAAATAAAGCTACATGTCTGGAGTCACAGCCTAAAGAAACAAGAAGGCTAGGAAATTTCCTGGCCTCCAGGTTTTATGCCTGACCAAAAGCAGGACTCTGAAATAATTGCTAATAAAAACAAAATCCTATTTACTTAAACACTATGAAAACTGAGGAAGAAGTATTAGTAGACTTTGGAAGAGTCATACCTGTTGATGGTTCCTGTGTAGGTAAAGAGAAGCTTTGATTAACAAGGCACAGAGGCATGACTGAAAAATTATCCTGTGGTAAAATACTGCTTTCGATACGATACCTGTTTGGAGCAAAGGAAAGCATGTAAAGGTTAAGAAGAAATACAAGAACTGCCTCATATATCCATACTTCAGTAATGAAGCTACCTAGAAGAGTGTGTAGCTATAGGAAGAAGGAAACCCAGGTCAAAACTGAGCCCCAGTAACAAATCAGGTTAGGAATAAAGGAATTGTAGCAGGGAATCAATCCAGTGTTTTATCCAGACTGTTATCTAGCCTCTAACATTATCTTGTAACAGATGATTCTGGAGAAGTTGATGAAACAAACTAATTAAATCCCTCCTATCATCTTCTCTCCTACTCTTCTTACACTCTAATCCAATTTACACCCTAAACTGAGGGTGCCACGAAGGCTGTCAGAGCCATATCACATTGGACATAACAGGATGAGAGGATTTTCTTTTCCCAAAAGATATCTCACTGATTAAAATATAGACAAGCCTAATTGATTATTTTGTTAAGCCAAGCAAAAATAGTGAAAAAGTGGTTAAAGAATCATTATGGTCTGTAAAGGCATTGCCAACACAGCAATCAGGTACAATCTGTCATCCAGGCTCCAGACCAAAGACATCTTTGAAAATCATTGTACATCCAAGCAAGAGCTAATACCATAATGTGACAGTATCACAAGCCACTGTTTCTTCAGAGAGTCCACACAAGAGGTAGCACAAGGATGAAGGCAAGGGCAAGGAAAGGTGCCCAGCAGAGGGGTGACTCTCCGGAGGAAGTGATGACTGACTTTTTAAGCCATCTCAAAAGCAAAATGAAACAAGCTGCTCTACAATGATCACATTTTACCCATGCTCAGCAGTGTCTCTCTCAATAAGCAATATTATTTCACTGGAAGAAGTTATGGATTAAGGCAAGTAAGGATCACAGGAGTTGCTGTGAGCTAAGCAAAATACTTACCTTCCAAATAGGAAATGAGGCAGTGATATCAAAAGACATCCAAATGACATAATTGTGCAGCCCAAAGCAATTATTCTGGGTCTGTGAAACTTTGCTCCGAAGTAACTCACAAATGCCATCAGCAGCAAGTTGCCTGCAAGAAGAACCTGGTCCTTATTTACAAACCAAGGCATCCTCATATCTTCTAAAGTGCAATAGAAATTGAGGTATATGTTGTTAGCTCAACATCTTGTTACTTCCTGGCTTGTAAAAACTGTAACTAGACAGGGAACTGCCTGAATACTGCAGTAATTCCCTCCTATCTCTGATCTTTTTCTGGAAGAGTTACAGCATGTAAAAGAACATAAGAACAGAAAGCAGAATGGAAGAGATATCATGGTGAAATTTCTGACTGCACCTATGTAAAGAAGAAATTTCCTACTACTTTACATAGAGACCAGGCCCAGTGGCTGCAGAATAACATCTGGTTTAGGAAGTTATTCTCCTAGGATACTCTATTTTGCAATGTGTGGGAAAATAAAGTATATATCCAAGTGGTTTTGTACTGAAAATAATAAACACAAGATGACATACAGAGAAAAAAGGAGTAATAAATTAATATTAGTTTCAGTAACAGTTTAAGAGGAATAAAAAAATACAGATTTTTGTGCCTAGTACCATTTAAAAATACAAATGGGTTAAAAATCTTTGTTCTCTTCTCCACTTTCACTTCACAATCAGCTGATTTTCTATACTCTTCATTTATTGCTATGCAACTAAGAAAAGAATCAAGCTTCATGTTATGAATCAGGTCCCATAAAAATAACAATTTAGTAATCGTACACCTACTAATTTTGTGATCTTTTTGTCAAAAGAACAAAACCATGTCTCTGAGTGATGAGCATCATGCTCTGAAAGAAGCTAACTTTTTTCTGTATGACTGCTAGACAGACTGTATTGAACCAGTGGCTTGAATGACACTTAAAGATGCACAATTACACAGTTCTAAAAGTTCCTTAAGTTTGCCACATACACTGACTCTTAATCATTTCAAATATTAATATTATTATTCACAGTTATTATACATCCTTGGAGGTAAGAATGCCACAACTTGTTATAGAAAAGTGTATATGAGAGGATAATTTATTTAAAATGATAAGTCTTTTAAATACTACTTCATTAATCTTGGACATTTCATATTTCTTAAAGTCTCCTCCTTATCAAAAGCAAGAATATATTCTGGGTATTTGTTCTCTATCTAATAAAGATCCACCTTGTGACTTTAAGGGTATAGAACACATCCTCTGAGGATCTCTATTTAGATGGGTTTGAAACTATGAAAGCTATTGCTTGGCTTTTGTGGCAATGAAAAGACCTAAGTCTATCACTAGGCAATAAAACTCACTGATAGGTGAGGTAAGGGTCACTAACAGTAGAACTGGAAACTTTCTTTACAGTTCTACAGGTATGAAATCTTGAAATATTATAGGGTTTGAGTAAGGAGACAATCCACTCCAAACTTTGAGGTCACTGATTAAAAGAACTATAAAATGCTAAATACGACCTTAAATTCAAACAAAGTTTGTAAAATCTTTCTGGTTTGTTAGTTGATTCAATACAAAGCTAATAAAATAGTTCTATTTTGTTAGTTGTTCTGTCATATCTTAAGATAGGGCAGAAAATAGCTGAAACAGTTTTTAATCCTAATCTTCTTCATTTAAGTTGTCCTGTTCATTTCCAAGACAGTAAATATGTAAGTACCAGCTGAAACAGTATGATAGATTTGGTCACTATTGCCACATACAACAATTAAGAGATTGCTGTGGACATGAGAGTCACTAACACATGCATCAGACAACATATTATATTTTCAAAGGACAGGAAATATTAAAATGAGTTATTACCAATTTCAAAGCTTCCATTAATGATCCCCACTAAAGAAGCCGGAATATTAAATTGTTTCTCTATCTGTGTGTACATGCTGTTCATATAAGCACCAGACATTGTTTTACCAACAAATGCAAGTGATAGTGCCAGTAGAAATACCTAGGAAGGAAAGAGGAGAATGGGTAAAGAATTCCAAGTTATATATTTAGGAATATTCCATTATTATTTTCCCCACCAAAGATGTGCTTCCAGATAAAACAAGTGAAGAGTCCTGATCCACTGATATGTGTGTAAATACAAGTTCAAATCCTATCACCTATCGTTTTCCACAGAGGAAAACAAAGAAGAAAGATTTTGTTCTTCACCTGCTGCCATTGACCAAGTCTGTCTTCAGAAACCTTAAGCCCCATTTCCCCAGGCAAAACAGATGCAGCACAACCTCTCCCACCATGTGTCTACTGCAAGATTGCCATCTGCAGGACTGCATAACGTCTGCAGCCACACCAGGGTGCAAAGACCTTCACACTCTGATCATCTGAATGATAAATTACTTGCAGAATTAAGATCGTTTTCTTTGATTAAATTACTTGATCGGGTATTTGCTCTCCCACCTCTGTGGAGGTCATGAGCCCAGAACAAGACATTTCGAACAGAAGTAGTAAATAGTGATCGTCATTTTTACAAGAATCTAGCAGCAACTGACAGTAAAAAAAATAAATATAAATATATGCAGTAGTATTCAAATCCTTTTAAATTTAGGGCTCTTGATAAACAGTATTTATGAGATAAAATCAATAGTATTTTTTAATATAACTGCTGTAAATGAGAAAAAGCATAGGTAAGGTATTTGGGCTTTGAATTATTATTCAATGCAAGCTGTTTTACCGTGTTTATACCACTTCTTGACAACTTGAGTAGTCTAGGGTACATCAACAGCCAATTTTTACTGCCATGTCACAATCGGTAAGACTCATTTTACAGGTTTAAGGAGGAATGGTAAATATGTCAGACTAGGGGGATTACACAAATTCAGAGGTGGAGCTTCAAAGGAGCGATCAAGCATACCTCAAACACATCAGAGAGTCTAAAGTTCAGGGACATAAAAAGCAACACAGGATTGCTTATAAACTTGCTTGACCTTGGTAAAAGTATTAAGGATAAGGAAAGAAACAGAACCTATTCATTAATTTAGTCTAGATTGTAACTTCTACCAGACCACTAGAGGTACAAGCAATTACAGTTGTGTGTTCATAAAAAATTGCTAAAATATTTCTGTACCTTCAGCTTGGAAATGCAGCAGAATGTGTCCTCTGCATGTGGCTTCTCAGCTTCTTTCATGTTGCCTGTGTTAATTGATCCCAATGCCTGTTTCTGAGTGTGACCAGTGATCCTATTGCAGTGTTGAAAAAGACCAGAAAAAAAAAAAAGAGAAACATTTTTGTCCCATGTTTGCAAAAAACAGATTCCTTCTAAGGTATTTGATATTTGAGCGTCTTCCTGAAATAAATGCAAACTGGATTCCAGCAAAACTGGATTCCAACAAAAGCTACAAGCCTATAAACTTTATTTCAATCAAGAAAATTTGACGTGAATGTCAACAGTGTAACAGCCAGTTATTTCTCATTAAATTCTGAATGCTGTCAGCAGCGTATAACTCATACAACCAGTCAGCAAAGAACAGAGAAAAGAGACGTTCTGAGGGCAAGTTAGTTTGTCTGCAATACAGCTTTTTAGTCACCTTCACAAGCATTTGGTACGGCCCATGGTGGGACACAACTATGTGAAGACCTATACATTTGACTGACATGGTCTTTATTTACGATGCCTGTCCTTCCTAGCCATAAAAAGGACATTTAGTTCTGCTCTGCATATTCTATCAAGCCCTCCCCTCTTCCACTGGCATCAATGTAAATTTGTTAATTTTAATAGAAATCATATTGGAGACTAATATCTTGGCATTAGAATTAGAAGAAGAAAAAATAAAATCAACTTAAGGTCTAAATGGAAACAAATCAGACCCCGCTCTACTTCCCCTCCCAAGATTTGCAAAACCACCCCTCTTTATTTGTCTGCCTGCTTTTAGCCACCTCCATCTTGACTTGATGGTTAGAGCTTCTGGTAGCACTAAGCCACCTGCTTTCTTACACATCTTAAATATTTCTCAAAAATGTGTTCAAATAAGGAGCAACATATTCTGAGGACTTGGAATACACTTACCTGTAATGGCCCCTACACATCTGAGGGTTAGCACGATGAGTTAAACAGGAAGAACACCAGTTTAAAGAAGATTTCTCTCTAAGTATTGCCACAAAAGCTTAAATCAAGTTATTCATTATAGTTCCCTCTGTCTGATGGGGCAAGCTGAAGAAGACCAGGGCAAGTCAGAGCCTTACCTTACAGTTGAGATGGATAAACGTTAATTTCCTCTTTTTTGTCTTGGATACCCTTTCCAAGTGTGATCTTGTGGCACCTGCTCTTCTCTATGTTTTCCACTTCACGGAGCCATGGCTGAGAAGTAAGTTGTCTTTAACAAGCCCACCAATAGGACTGAATTGCCCTTCGCATTCCCCCCCCCCCCCCCCCCAGTCAATCTCTTGAAACACTAATTTCTACAACAATGTTAATCCTCTCAAATGTGTTTCTTAACTAACTTGATTCCTAACAAATTCATGGGCATTAACTCCTACAGCTACCTTCTCATTTTCAGTCTCTAAAAGTGTAGTGTATTATTATAGCACTCACAGAATCACAGAATGTTGGGGATT